AGCAAGTACTCTAGGATCTTGAATGAACAGTAGTGTACTGTATCTGCTTTTTAATTCTTATGATAAATATTTAGAATGAATACTGTACTACTGTACTACTATAGGCAATTAAATTGAAAGTTTAAAAAGATACTGACACTAACTGCATCACAGTACAGTATGTCATATTTTTTATCATTTTGGCTTCCATTGACCAGGCAAAGAAAATGTTTTTTATCACTTTGCCAAACCACTCCTTAGGATACATCCTTTAAATAGGACACTTTTATTGGTCCCAAAGGTATCTCCTTTATTGGAGGTTCTAATTCGCTGTATTTCATTATCACAAATGTACAATATTACTTTTATCATATTCATAGCATCCCCAGCCCCCTCAAATCTACTGTGATAGTTATGCCGGTTTTCCACAAGGCGAATTTATTCGCGCGAATCAAAAGCGTTCTTCAAGTGCATTTGCTTGCACATTCCTATCTGAGTTTTTGTGAAGCGAAAAAATGCGCAACCAATCAGAGCTCAGGAAGCGAACCGACGCGTTGATTCGCGCGAATAAATTCGCCTAGTGGAAAACCAGCTTTAGAGTTACCGCTGTTCCAAATTCTAATGCTGTTTTCCTCAATTTAACTTTATATTAGGATCCTTTCCATCAAATTGTTAACTGTCCATCTCAACCTTTCCACTACCTTCTTAGAGCACTGTATATTCACACATCCTTTGTTGGACTTCCCCTCAAATCTTTAAGCTTTAATACAATACTTTCCCTATTAAAATCTTTATCTTTCATATCACACCTTGACCTTGCCTTTACTGTGCTCAAGTGTTTATTCTCATTCCTGATAAAATCTTTACCCATCTCTTCAAACATGCATTTGCCTACCCTCTTAAATCATTGTACTTTTGCTGTCACTTCACTTCAAATCTAAACTGCACCCTCCACAAGTGTTTACTGTCATTCCTATTTTCCATCTCAAAACACTCTCCTCTCCTGAAATCCTTCTGCATTTCCACTCAAAAATATCTATTGTACAACTATACCTCCAAATTACTTTGCTTCCTATTCAAATCTTTACTGTAATTTCAAACATTTTGTCACCATTTTCAGAGACAGAATTTTGACCAAAACATTTGAAGTGGACTACTGCAGTTCATAAAACTGTAAATTTCACTATCAAGATATCAAAATTTTAAATATTTTTTTTACATATGTTTAAAGATAAAGCACTGAACAATTCAAATGTTAAATTTCTTTTTCTATTCGTAATTTTAATTAATCTGTCAATTAGCGTGAACAGTTTGAGTCTGTTTACGAAATTATCAGAATAATCACAGCATAAAGTATGTTGTGTACACAATATACAGTATGAGTGAATTTTGTGTCTCTTCGTGAAAATGGATTGTGCTGTACGAGCTCCGTTGTTAAGACACAAAAAAACTATATTTTAGCATGTGTTTAACCATTGTTGTCAAGGGTGACTATACTGTAGGTTTACGAACTAGGCTTATCCTGCTTAAATCATGAATGTATTTACCCGCACTAATAATTTTACACTTGCTGCATGTGTATACTGCTGACCTATTCCAAGTTATACTGCAACAAGACAGGTACCACTATGCTTAGGTAAGTTAGGGAAATCTAATCGTTACATCTACCCCTAACCAAGCTACAGTAGGTCTTTTCTAGCCGATCACAACACCACATGTGCATCTTTTGATAACCCACTGAAAGTTTGTGTCTGTTTGTGAAAACGAGAAATCCATTTTCCTTGGTTTGTGAGCATTGGCTGATTAGTATGAATTAACTAAATAATATAGTTACACTCTTAAAATTAGCTGAAAGGTTAGCGTTCGATATACATAATCGAAATGTCAAAGAATAAAAAAATTGAAAAATTGTGAATTTTTTAGGTTTATTTCACTTTGTGGTGTCGTTTACGATTTACTGGCCCCTGGCCTCAAACCTTTGTACATTCCTTCTACAAATCTTTATTGATATTTTAGGCAGTGACTGACAAACAATTTAAGAGTGATTTGGCTCTATTAAACACCAAAAAAGACCAAAGGCTTAAATTGATGTAAAAATTCTATCACAGAGCAGACACCTGGTTTTATTCTATAAACAAACTTTTAGCAATGCCAATTCAATGAATATTGTTATAGATAAATTTGTTTGTATGCATTGACATCTTGTTCCTGGAATGCATTCAATATGACCTTACACAGGTAGAAATAAAGCATCTACAGTATGGTTTTACCCCTTCTTTCTGTTTTTACAATTAATTATTGACAATAAATTTTTTAGTGTATTGTTGCTGCAGTGGGTGTTGTACTGTAGATGTCAATACAGATGGTAGATATATTCAACATGCTTTTATTACATAATTAATAACTGTCAATGCATTGTTATTTTCGGCAAAACCTGTAAGAATATTTTCAATTTAATATAATCATCTCTAGGCCTGAAGAAACTTGTTTTTATCGATTAATTTATATACATTAATTTATTAATTTAAATTGTTATTTTTATTTATATTATTCTTCTTATTAAGCAAGTACCTACACTTCTTCTGTTGTATTATTTTCAAAGTAACATTTTCAAAATCTGTGTATGATTATGTGTGTTTAGTAGGACATGAGTGATCAATCCTGATAAAAACTAAAATTAGCCTAAACTACGGCCAGACTGTATAGTAAGGCGTGCACGGGGAATATATCCTCTGCGTAAAAATTTGACCTAGAAGTCTGTCCACGCATTTTGGAAAATAAGGGGCAATTTCTGCACAGATTTTGTTGAAAATTAGGCTTGAAGTAATCTTATTAGAAAAAAACATATTTATTTATGCAGTATTTAAGAATCCAATTTTCCCAGCGATATTCCGTGTAAATTTGAGCTGCTTTTTGAGATGGGCATGGTTATGAATTGATGACATAAAGAAGGAATTTAAATCAAATTTTAAAAGTTATGAAGAATTCATTTCAGACCTGAAAGAAGTAGGCAAGATGAAGGAGAATCTGGAAAGAGAGTCTAGAGAGAGGGAGATAGGAAGCCTAACCCAGGGAGTTGGGTAACTTCACTTCAGAACTGTATGCAAAATTATAATGACCTCGGCCGGCTATGGAGGGCAGACTGTGCATGGTCTGGAGGTTTGTTTGGTCGACAGGATTTATTTAGCCTTGGCGATCCTCATCCACACAATGCCGACTCTTCGTACCGCTAGGCGCTAGCTCGACCTGAAGCTGACTGAACCAGCCTGAAAATATATGTGTTTCTCCCCAACGTATTTCCCCCGTATTTCAATCACAATCAAGTTTACAGTACATCATTAATCACTAACCTTTCTCCTATGACTGGTTTTTAAATCAAAATCCTGCGATAATCATACTATAAACAAATCAAACTTCCTTTGGCCAGAATCGCTATACACCACTGAGACACGCACACAGAGCGGTTGTTGTTTACACGATCATACGGGATATCGTTGATCGCGGGTGTATGTTTTTTTTAGAGATAAAGTACCACCTAGGTGGCGCTTTTCATTTTTTTGTGTCCCAGTTGTTATTGGGTGATGACAATGCACACACCACACGGATATCATTTATTTCATAACTTTCCATGTCATAAACCAAGCATAAGGCCAAAACGTCTAGTGCAAAAAAAAATTTAAAAAAATAAAAAAAAATCAACCCCATTCCGGGCCACACCCCAAAACGATAATAACACATTCACAAATTACTCCATACAAAAATAATTTTATGGCATTTATTCATCATTCATTCAATCAATCATCATTTCAGTCAAAATTGCATTTGACTTTAATTAACATTGCTATAGGCCTGTAATTTGCGCTAATTAATTTAAATTATCATTATCATCATCACCATCATCACAACTTTTGTCAGAAGGGCATTTGGTTTTAACATTTCATATTGCACTATAAAAATTTTAATTTATTATCATTATCATCGTCATCACAACCACACACCACTATAATTTCAACATCGTCGTCGTCATCAACCTCCATATCATTTTGTCTTTATTAATTATATCGTTATCATTTTCTGTATTATATTATTTTTTATTAATAGTATAGGCCTAATAAATAATAATAATTTAGCTTAGGCCTATATGTCGACTCGAATACCGTATTTATTCGAATAAACGCCAGGGCGTTTTAGGAAGGCTTTTGAGGGGGTGTTTTATTCGAGTGGGGCCTGTATTTGTTTATTTTGGTAAAAAATGGATACGTATAATATAGTCTACTCAAATAAACGGTGCCCTTTGTGTGGAACTACAACACATTACTGTTGAAAATATCACTTTATATGTGACCCTAAAGATTGATAAAACGAAAAAACAAAGAAAAACTCAAGGAACATGAGTAGGTATTCTGTTTAGTGCTAAACATTTTTCGGCTCAGTTTCTACGATGTAGAAGAGGAGGATCACATAAATTAAGTTACCAGCTGTTAGAAATAAATGTAATTCTACTGAAATACAAAATTAATACTGTACTCTAGTGTGTAGAGAATGATGTTGCTTCCATGAACCTATATTATTTTACATTCATTTGAGGTGGAGGGACGTTTATTCGAGGAAAAAATAAACGTCTATTCGAGGGAAACATTCCAAAGAGGCTCTGAAAGGTGCATTACGGGGCGTTTGTTCAAAGCGGGAAGTTTTCGAATACTTATGTTAACGCGAATTAACACGTTGACGCGATGTCTACTTCCTACCACCCAAGAGCATTTCCGAGACGTTTCTGTCTTGCGCCCTCTATTGTCAACTGTCGACCACCTTTTTTGTCAGTTGTTTACAAAATACTCCTCGTTCAATAAAGATGATGTTGTATTATAAATTTGATGTTTTGTTTTGATTTATATATTTTTAGTTAATTTCAAAGTATCTTGAAAATTATATCTGATTTAATTTAAGAATATTAAGAGTCACATAATTTTCCTGATACTTTTTATATATATTTTAATCGATGAATATTATTCCATAAATTATATAAAGCAGATGAAAGGTAAAAGAAGGTGAATCCGTAAAATAGTGCAAGGTCTAGGGAAATTCAATATTTGCGTCATTGT